TATAAATGTGCAAATAAAAAAAGAAATTTAAAAATCCACAATTAAAAAAACTAAACAAAAGCATTAAAAATAAAAAAACCCACATATATAAATACAGGAATGTCTAAATACAAAACCTTTAAAATCTATACATAAATCAATCAATATATAAATCCATACAACTACAAAACAGATGTATAGATACAGGAATGTGCAACAAATGCAACAACAATAAAAAGGTAAATACATAAATAAAGATATGTGGAACTGCATACAAATAAATATAGACTCATAGAAACAAATGCAGAAACATCAAAATAAATTGATGTCTAACTACATTAAAAAATGTGTTAACAAAGACAAAAGAAAAGTTAAAACGAACTTTGACTTCGTGTCAATGTGATGTGAAATAAAAGTGAGAATTATGAGGAAAAAAAAGCTACAACTTCCAGAATATGAAAAATCAAATTGTGAGACATCAAACATCCGATAAAGGAACCTGAAGATGAAGCTTCATAAAACAGTTGAAGGTTTTATTTTCAGACTCTTGAAAATCTTCACATTACAAGTTTACAGAAGAAATCCAGCCTCAGTTCATGAAGGATCTTCTTCTAAAAAGGTTGAATAATAAAACACGACTTCCTGATGATGATGATGATGATGATGATGGTGTTTGTTTGTTTCAGGACGAAGACGTGTCAAACTTCAGTCTGCTGGAGGTCTGCATGAGCAGCAAACAAGGTGGGAACCACACGGCAGGACTTTCTGTTTAAAGTCTGTGCAGCAGCTGATCTGTTTTCTGTTTTCCTGTCGTCCTTCAGTTCAGAGACAAACTCTGACGCCTCAGGAGAAGATTCTGGACAAACTGCAGGAGATCAGGAAGGTAAAAACAAAACAAACCTGCTCTTCCTCCTCTGATCTCATGTCTGAATCACTGTGCAGCTGTTTTCATACTTGAGTCATTTAGTTTGTGTGTTTTAAGCCTTTATTCAGCAGTAATGTGGGGAGAGGGTCGATTTTAAGCAGCTCGACAGTAAAGTGAATATTTGTGGGTTTCTGACTGTTCTCGACAGTTTATGGACAAAATAATAAAATTAATCAGAAGATAAATTGATTAAAAAAACAGCTTTTAATCCTCATGAATATGAAATCTGAGGAGTGGTGTAGGCGGCGCCTGTATCTTGCAGCAAACCTACAAAAACAACTACAAACTGATGTTACTTGTTCCCTGCCTCCCACCCATCAGTGTGCAAAATTCATAGAAATGGTTTCAAAATACTTCCAAAAAGATGCAAAATAACTTCAGATCATGACAGACGGATGAAACGTTGTGATAAAGACACACAAAGTGAGTTTGAATAAATGCAAAATGACCCCAAATAGATGCGAAATCACTACAAATGTGACGCTGGTGTCTTGTTTCCAGGTGGAAAAACTAGAAACAGATGCAAAATGACAACAAACGGATGCAAAGCTATGACATATACATTTAAAACTAATAAAAACACAAAGTGAATAAAAATGGATGCAAAACAATTTTAAATAGATGCAGAATGACTCCAAACTGATGCAAAATGATCTTAACTACATGCAAAACTAGAAACAGATGCCAAGTAGCTACAAATAGATGTAAAATAATGACAAGTACATGAGAAACTAGTAAAAAAACACGATGCAAAATGAATAAAAATTGTTGCAAAACAACTACAAATAGGCACAAAAAAATCTTCAAATAGATGCTAACTTTCGACAAATGCAGCGTTATCTTAAACAGACACAAAACAACGATGAATAATTGCAAAATCATGACAAACAGATGTCAAATTACTACAAAGTACAAAGCAAAAACCTTCAATTCTGCAATAAGTAGATGCAAATGACTCCAAACGGATGCAAACGTGTGATAAATATATGCAAACAACTACAAATGGATGCAACATTATGATAAACTGATGCAAAACAACTGTGAAGAGATGTAAAAGTGACAAATAGGTGGTAAACTAATAAAAACCGAATGCAAAATAAATAAAAATAGACACCAGACAATCATGAATGGGTGAAAAACAACCACAAATAAATGTAAAGTTACCACAAATAGATGCAAAGTGATGACAAACGTTGTCGTTCCTCAGGTGTCTCTGCGGCAGATGAACCAGACTCGGTTCTACGCTGTACAGAACCAGAACCGAACAGTGCAGGTCAACCTTCTGATCGGAGGACTGCCCCCCCTGCTGGCCAAAGAGGAGTACGTCCAGCTGATCCAGGAGAACCTCGACATCAAGAGTGAGTTCACTTCCTCTTTCTGGTTTGTTCACAGTAGAGAGACGCTCAGCTCAGAGGCTCCACTCCGATGAAATGAAGAGAAATAAAAATGATTTAGTGACAAAAAACACAACTAGACTGATTTCTCTATTTCAACCTTTATTGTGCCGGTTTGAACATTTCTTCTTTTACTAACGAGGGGGGCGGTCCTAATGCAAGGCTGAAGCTCATTGGTTGGCTGAGTGAAACAGACACAAGCTAACTGGTGCTAATCTTGAATTAATTACACAAAAAGAATCAGGTTTGAACTTGGATAATATACAGAAATATAAAAAAAAGTCAAAAATACCAAAATAAACAAATGCACATTAAACATAAAAAAAGAAACAGAAAATAAATGAAGCAATACAAAGATAATAAATGTGAAAATAAATAATGTGGGAATGCATACAAAGTAAAAAAAATAAAATAAACATAAATAAGTAAATGAAAAAAAAAGATAAATGTAGAAGTACAAAAATAAGTTAGTGTAAAAAAAACTGCAATACATCAATAAGTCTAGAAATATATACATATATTACAGGTAGATAAAATTAATAAAAAACAAAGAGAACGCGTAAAATAAACAGAATGAAGCATTAAAGCTAAGAGTAAACTTCACAAGGAAGCAAGTGGATAAAAGTGGGTTTTAGGAAGGTACTGAGTCCGCTAGCCTTACCTCCTCAGGCAGCTCGTTCCAAAGCCGCCCTGGTGGAGAAAGCTCACATAGATTTAAGCCTCGACTTGGGCGCGACCAGAAGGGAACCACCTGAGGATGTAAGGCTGCTAGGAGGCTCATCAAGGGTCATCAGATCACAAATGTGAATTGGAGCGAGACCCTGGCGTACTTTAAAAGTGATCAGTAAAATCTTAAAATCGATTCTAAAACGAGCAGGGAGCGAGTGTCGGGAAGCCGAGATGGATGTGATGTTATCTGGGATAATGGGTAAGAAGCCCAGCTGCTGGACAAGCTGGAGGCGAGAGAGGGACTTATCGGAAAGGCCAGAAAGGAGGGAGTTACAGTAATCCAGACGGGACAAGATGAGTGCATGGATAGCTTTCTCCGGATCCGGATGCATCAGCTTAATCTCGGAGATTGTTCTGATTTGGAGGAAGCAAGACTGGATAGCTTCTTTGATATGGGGAACGAAACTGAGGTCTGAGTCAAATAAAACCAGCCAGATTTCTGGCAACGGACGGATAATGGACCGAGGTTGTTGGCAGTGAGACGGCTGTGTGGGTTTGGAGGGTTAAAAAGTGTGACTTCAGTTTTGGATTTGTTTAACTGAAGAAGATTTTGAGCCATCCAACGGTGAACGGCATTGAGACGGTTAAAAACAGCAGCTAGGCCTCCTGGATCAGCAGGTCTCAGCAGGAGGTATATCTGTGTGTCATCTGCATTAAAATGAAAGGATACATGGTGATGTTGGATTAAAAAACCAAGGGGGAGTAAATAAATAAGAATACAATTGGACCTAGACTTGAACCTTGCGGTACACCACAGGTACTGGGCGCTGAAGAGGAGGAGTGATTACCAAAGGTAACCCAGTAGGTTTTGGTGACGTGACTGAATGTCGGAAATTGATGTCAGGGGAGGACAGCCGGGGGAGCAGCTGCTTGTAGCAATAGCCTGGCATGGAGTAGGCGAAGAAGGGGGAGGTTCTGGGGTGTGTGGGGGGGATGTAAACAGTCAGTCATGAGGAGAAGACTGTACGGCATGCAGCAGGTTAACCGCTAGCATCCAGCTACCCAACCTGTTGGGATGAACTCCCGTCAGGAGGGGGATCGATTCCACAACAAAACTGTACGAGGTGCAGCAGGTTGGCCACGAGCATCCGGCTAAGATGATGCACCTGAAAGCCCGCAGAAACAGTTTGTGAAGACAAGCAGACTAAAGACATGGATTACTGGAACCATGTCTTGTGGTCTGATGAGACTCGAGTGTGTGTGGTGGAAACCAGGTGAGGAGCACAAAGACAGGTGTGTCTTGCCTCCAGTCCAACATGGTGGTGGGAGTGTCATGGTCTGGGGCTGCATGAGTGCTGCTGGCTCAGGGAGCTCCAGTTCACTGAAGGAACCATGAATGGCAACGTGTACTGTGACATCCTGAAGCAGAGCATGATCCCCTTCCCTTCAGAAACTGGGCCGCAGGGCAGTGTTCCAACATGACAATGACCCCAAACACACCTCCCAGACAACCACTGCCTTGCTTGAGAAGTTGAATGTGACGGAGTGGCCGAGCACGTCTCCAGACCTAAACCCTGCTGAGCTTCTGTGGGACATCCTCAAACAGAAGGTGGAGGAAGGTCTCCAACATTTTCACTTCTGTTGCCAACGGTTTAGACAGTAATGTCTGTATTGAGTTATTCTGAGGGGACAGTAGATGTACACTGTTATACCAGCTGAACACTGTGGCACAGTGTCATTTCTTCAGTGCCGATAAAAAGATATAATAAAATATTTGCAGAAACGTGACCTACTGTACATATGAATGAATAAATGTATAGAACAGTGCATGAAAGAAAACGTATCAATACATAGAAATAAATAAAAATACAGAAACACATTAATGAGGTAATATGGAAATAAATAAAGGCTGAGATACATAAATGAGTGAATAAATAAATATGTAGATAAAATACACTAAAAGTAAATGTAAAAAAACAAAAAATAACTGTAGAAAAACAGAAATAAACATTTTTTATATAAACAAACAAACAAATTGATGTAATGCGTAAATCCATAAAGGGTGATATATGTAAATAAATAAAAATATATTGTGAAATAGAAAAATAAATGCACAGAAAATATTGTAATAATACATTAAAATAAATAAATACAGAAATACAGAAGTGGCCTTAATAGAAGTTCCATCCATCCATCCATCCGGAGTCGATGTATTGAAATGAAGTAAATAAATCCAGGACTGGAGTTAAATTGTTATTTTTATTACCAAACTTATTTATTTCTGCATTTTCTGGTCATTTTTTAATTTGCAACACATCTGATGAGTTCAGTAACTCTGTTGTTCAGCTGTTTTGTCGACTGGCAGCAAAAATCTAGTTTATTGTCACTGTATGAATAGTTCAACGTGTTTATATATTAACAGTGAGTGTGTTTGTTTGTTTGTTTGTTTGTGTCTGCAGGTCACCTGGTTACCATCAGCCACATATACAGCAGTCAAGGTGAGGCGGTCGCCAAGGAAACCATGTGATTGGTCCTTCACCTGCATGGACAACTTTAGTGTTTGACTTTTTTGACTCCACTACTCGTCTGTCAGTAATATTTAAATGTTATTTACACATCTAGCAGTATAAAGTATAGTATAAAGCGAAAACTTGCAATCCTGCGATAAATGGATTCAAAATAACTCCAGACTGATGCGAAATGACCATAAATGTATGTGAAATTACAAATAAATGCAAAATTATGGCAAATAGTTTTAAGATTGACACAAATATGTGCACAATTGGGGTAATTCAATGCAAAATGACAACAAACAGATGCAAAATTATGACAAATACACACAAAACTATTAAAAAACAGAATGCAAAGTGAATAATAATGGTTTCAAAACAGCTACAAATGGGACAAAAATAACTTCAAACAGATGCAAACTTGTAAAAGACAGATGCAAGTTATGATAAAAAAATAACAGAACCATGAATAAATGCAAAATGACAACAAGTACACGCACAATTATGATAAATGGATGCAAAGTGATTTCAAACAGGTGCAGAATTCTGACAAATACATGCAGATTACTACCAATAGATGCAAAATGACGACAAATACGTTGAAAACTAATGAAAAGGTGTTTAACAGCAGCTGCAAAACAACCGTAATAGATGCAAAATACTACAAATGATGCAAAATAATGAAAAATAAATGCAAAGTGATGACAAATAGATGTAAAGTTACTACAGATACATGCACAATCATGATAAATACACTGAATATATGCAAAATGACTACAAATCGATTACAAATGGATGCAAAGTTAAGATAAAAACATGCACATTTCACATCAATTGATGCAAATGACTACAAATAGATCACAAAAAAATGTAAAATGTATAAAAGCTGAAGTAGCTATAGATAGATGCTAAATTACTACAAATAATGAAAAACTGTGACAGACAGATGCAGCGCTGCCCCTGATGGGAAATAACATTTTACACTGTGTACCAAGAATTCTACAACTTACAGCATTAGAGCCTAAAGATAAAGAGATAAAGAGCCTAAAATAAAAACATGAAATAAAATAAGAATCAGGAAACACAGAGAAAGTCGAGCTGCGAGCTGCCGTGTGTTTACTGTGTTTGTGTGCGTTCAGGTGCGGTGGCGCTGCTGATTTCCTGTTTCGCTGAAGCAGAGAGGATCTACATGTTGGCCAAAGACACGTCGGTCAGCAACAAGCCGCTGACTTCGCTGGTCATCCCAGAGATCCTGGTAACAAACACTCTGCAGCTTTTCAGTGGCAGTAAATCAGAGGAAAGAGGAACCTTACAGCTGCGACACATTATCAGGGCGGCTCAGCAGCTCCACAAACATCCTGAGAAACAAAACTCGATCCGTAAATCTGCACAAAACAAATTTCTCTCAGTGAAGCTGATTTATTTTGTTTAGTAGAGTTTGAGAATGTAAAAAAAAAAAAAAAAAGGAAAGAAGGCAGAAGAGTTTTTCTGTTTGTCAGTGATGAAACTTTTGTTTGTTATTTATTTGTTTATTTTTTAACTTGTGGTGTTTGTCGTCGTGCAGCACGACCAGCTGGGAGCCGACGTCTGTCCGCTGCTGGTGTTCGTCAACCCGAAGAGCGGCGGCCTGAAGGGCAGAGAGCTTCTCTACAGCTTCAGGAAGCTCCTGAATCCTCACCAGGTCTTTGACATTTCCAACGGAGGACCGCTGGCTGGGTGAGGACGACAACAACAACAAAAAGCAACCAATAGGTGCAAAACAGCTGCACATTAAGGCAGTGATGAGATGCAAAATGAATAAACGTCGAATAAACTGTTTTCTTTCTACAGCGAAATACAAACGTTTACAAACACGCAAAACAACTACAGATAACTGTCGAGGAGAACAACAATGACAACAATTACATGCAAAAGACCATAAACTGTTTCAGAATTAGGACAAATGCATAAATAATGAATTAAAAAATGCTGAACAGCTACAAAGACATGCAAACTGATGACAGATGCAAAATAATAAAAATGCAAAACGATCCAAAATAAATCCACGATGATTACAAGCACATGCAAAACTATCAAAAATGCAGAAACAGATGCAGAACAGATAAGAATAGATGAAAAATACAGCAAACATCAATCAAAGTATGACGACCAGATCATAACAAGTAGATGAAAAAGGATCCACAATGAGAGCATGAGTGGCTCGGTGGTTAGCTCCGTCTCCTCACAGCAAGAAGGTCGCTGGTTCACGTCCCGGTGAGGACACCCGGGATCTTCCTGTGTGGAGTCT